GAATTGAACCAAATATTAATCCTTCCAGCCCTACTTAACTAATAAACTGACAGTATGAGGATAGACTCTGCCCCCCTTCTGAAGTACCTGATTTAATACTCACAAGGATCACAATAAGAGCTACAGTGTCTTGGGAACTGAGAATCACCAATTCTGTAATACCACAGAAATCCTAAGGATGCACTTTAATATAACTGGGTTAACAACAGCTTCAATTCTACCCTATGTTCAAGATCGAGTCCATGCATCTCTGTGTGGTTTGAATGAGAGATTTATACTAATCACCCCTATACTTTTTTAAAGATTATTTATTTATTTGAGAGAGAGAGAGAGAGAGAGAGAGAATGAGTAGTGGGAAGAGCAGAGGGAGAGGGAGAAGCAGACTCCTCAACGAGTAGGGAGCCTGAGCCAGGGCTCAATCCCAGGACCTGAGATCATGACCTGAGCCCAAAGCAGAAGCTTAACCGACTGAGCCACCCAGACACCCCTGTACTTTTCATTTATAACATTTTCCTGCCACAAAAATCTCTGTGCCTATAAATGTACATATCTTCAAAATGTTGCAAGGAGGATGGGCTCATTGTAGAGAATAAGGTGGGAATTATGGGTAGGGAGGCAGGGGAGAAATCAATGTTTCCCCTTTCCTTTCCTTTATGGTATGCTCTCTCTTACTTTCCTAACTTGGTGGGAGGAGCTCAAAGCATAAGAAAAACTAGAGCAAACCCCACTGCCCATTCTGTGGCCTTCCAACCCTGTTTCAACTATCCTTTCCAATTTTTTAAATTCTCTGTGCAATCATCCACCCTTTCCAAGAATCCTTTGTTCCAACACCACCAAGCTATTTATAACTTCCGGAGGTTTTCATGCTATTTTAGACCTCTATATATCTGCAGATGCTTTTCTCTGGTTCTGGAATGTCTTTCTCCTCCTCTTCCACCAGGAGAACCTACTTCCCCTTATACAGTTTTCAAGCTTTACTGTTAGTTGTTCCTAGACTCAAAATCAGAGCAAATCACTTCCTATTTATGCCTATATTCTTCCTTGGACATGTTTCTATTATTGTATTTACACTGCATTTAACTATCTGCTTACATGCCTGTGCTATCCATTGGTCTGTGATATCCTTAAAGACAGAGACAGTATCTTAGACATCTTTGAGTCATCGGCACCCAAAACAATACCTAAATGTATTTGTTGAATGAATGAATTCCTTCAAAGGTGTTTCTAAAGTTATCATGCCTAAATATTAGAAAATAAAGCTAAATGGCAGGAATTAGATTTTAATCTAAATTAATTTCAGTAGGTGAAAAGCTTGACCATATCAATCACTAGGGTCTTCTTAGTCTCTAATCTTTACTTTTTGATCTGATGCTGTGATTCCTGGGTCATTTGCTAAGGGGTAGAGCAGGGTCTGGAGAGCCTAGTGTTGAGAGTATTTATTTATACAAGGATGAAACAAACAAAAATTTGTTTATGATTTCCACTAAGGATCAACCATCGTCTCCGGAAGAACCTATTACAATCCAGGCATTGCACCTGCCATTGAATATACAAAGATTAAATACAGTGGAGTTACGCCCAAAATCCAATGGGACACAAAACATACTTAACTTCTGCCTGAAAGACTATGCTTATTCAATGAATTAATAGAATGGCCATTTATGGAAGCCAAAAGGTGATTTTTTAGATAATAAATGGTTGTTGTTCACAACAGAACTTGTACAAACAAGATGACACTAATGCATTTGTAATAGCTATTTATGGACTGGAGCCCAAGCTAGATGCCAAAAGTGGCTACAGCAGACACTAATGAAGTAACCAGTGGAGCCAGATCTATGTGTAGTTGTTTACTAATAGGTTTAATTATTATTATTATTTTTTAGATCAGGGAGCCCTATGCCTTAATTACATTTGGCAATGGGTAAAAGTATTGACTGAGCCTAGATTCCTGATGTGCAAGTAGAAATCACAATGTCAGTTCTTCATCACTGGGTCATGTCGACTTTAAGGAAGGCAGGATGTCATATAACCTTATTTTCATGGTGGGGAAAAACCCTATTACTTTATACAAAAGGAAACTGAAATCCCAGAGAGATTTCAGTAAATGATTCAAAGTAACATTATCAGCAGTCTATTTCATTTCAGACTCCAAGCCCACTCTCCTTCCGCTGCACCCCAAATTGGATTACCATAAATAATGGACTAGGTTTATAACACAAATGTAAGTTGTCACTGAATTCACTTAACTGATCCTTTCTGTTCCAAATATGCTGTGGCCCAGAAAATGGTGCACCAATATGAAATGGGTGCATTCCATCAACACTCTAGTGTCTGAAGCTTCTTACTAGATGTAATATATGAGTAACTCAGGAGGAACTATAATTTTTTTCAATAGTACCAGGAGAGGAAAGTTATGGTTTAAAACTTCCGGCAGCTACAAGAGGGGTCAAGTCAGTGAAATTTCTCATTATGATTTCTGTCTTCATGTGGTAGAGCTTATGACCCAAAAGATGAAAAAAAATATCAAGAATTTTGTTAAGAGGCACACACTGGCCAGTAGTGGGAATAGCCAGGCTCTAGAGGCAGGTAGATCTTGAAACGGGCTGGGTCACTTTCTATTCTTCACATTCAGCTTGATTATATAAATGATAATGCTAACAGCTGCCAGAAGGGTACTCTCAGGAGTAAATAACATGTGAAAAGGAACCTGGTATGGGATGTTCTTAGGCTTCATGTCCTCTTTTTGTGTGTGTGAGGCCCCTGGATCATTCCTTAGGCTCCAATTGGCTTCTCAGCCCCTCTCTTTTTCCCCAAATTAGAATTAGGAGGAGGTGAGTGAGGTACTCAGCTCAGGCATAAAATTTCAGGGGTTCCTCAAAGCACAGTAATCAAGGTAAAGAATATTTTAATGTGTATTTCTAATTAACATCCTGTAAGACTTGGCCTCAATTGCTTCACCTAATATCGGCTTTGTTGGATTCCATCTTTATTTAAAAGTTTGATATTTTCTTCTTCATGGGCTTTTTTTTGCCTTTTTTAATTTTCAAAAATATTTTATTAAAATACGATTCACTCTTGATTATTATTTTGGTGAACTTTAAATTTTATATCCAAACCAAGTGGCTCACTCACCTTCTGCTAATTCTACACCCAGTTCTTCCCTCTCTTCAGCCTCAGGTCTTAGCAGCCTTTCCACTTCTCTTAGAAGCCAACATTCTAGCCTTAGGGCTCCTTAATTCTAGACTGGTGGTGCAGTGGAGGCAGGTTTTTCAATGCTCCTTTCCTTGCCTCTCAAATGCAAGAAGAAAAAAAAAAAGACTGTTTTAGGTTCCACTTTGAAGAAGTGAGGGAGAAAACCAATGTAAAGTGAAGAAGGCTATTTTATCTGTCAGGAGTCACTGCATAGAGCCTAGAACCAATTGAGCCTGGCAAGTGCTACAGTAGAAACGGTGAAAGCATGGTGCTAGATCACCTGCATTCTCCAACCTTCAGAGGCTATGTGACCTGGGGAAGGTACTTAATCACTTGGCCCTTACTAGCTATGCCAATTAGGGCAACTTGAGTCCTACCACTTACTAGCTATGCCATCTTGGGAAGTTACCTGAGGTCTGCTAGTTATCAGTTGTGCCATATTGGACAAATTCCTCTAGCTCTACCCCTTCCTAAATTTGACATCTTTGTCAAGGAACTTTAGTTCTGTCCTTACTAGTTGTGCCATCTTGGGTAATTACTCAAGCTCTACTCATTGTAAGTCATGTCATGTTGGGATGTTACATGAGCCCTGTTCCTTACTAGCTATGCCATCTTGGGAAGTTGCTTAGGCTCTCTCTATGCCTTGGTTTTTCTCACCTGTAAAATGGGGCAATGAAGGTAGCTACCTTGTGGTTATCATGAAGATTAAATAAGTTAAGGCATGTAATACTCTTAGGATAATATCTGCTGGGCATTAAGAACTCAATCCATAGGGGCGTGGGTGGCACAGCCGTTGGGCATCTGCCTTCAGCTCAGGTTGTGATCTCGGGGTCCTGAGATCGAGTCCCATATTGGGCTCCCTCTCTGCCTGTCTCTCATGAATAAATAACCTTAAAAAAAAAAAACAATACATACAGGCAATTATTTGAAAAATGTTTCAGACCTAAACAAAGTGTTCAAAATGATAAAAGATGTAGCAGTAAAATTATACGTATTTTCAAAAATGTTACAACAATTCCATTTACTTGAGAATATGGCTATAATTTATTTTGTTCAAGGTGATGTGTGTTGCATTCTTCCAAATAAGAGGCCTATGGTTCTTTCAAGGTCCTACAACTGATTTGAATATGAGAAAGTTACGAAGTTTGTGAAACCTACAAAGTTCCTACTATCCCGATAGCTGTATCTGTTGAATTTTTTTCACTAACAATAATAATAGCTAGTACTTAGTGGACTGTCTCTATATGCTCTTCAAGTGCAATATTTCAATGAATCCTCATGACAGTCTAATGAGGCAGGCACCATTGTCATGATCACATTTTAGAGATGGGTCTGGAGAACTTGAATAATTTGCCTGAGATCACAATGCCAGTAGAGGTGGAAAGAGGGTCACCATTCACTGCTTTTCCAAATTATTTTCTTTTAAGGTGTAGGACCCTCTGAGACTATGTTGCTGTTTTCTACACAGAGTTAATCTATTCTGTGGATGTACATAGTTAAAATGAAAATATACCCCAAATATGGAGGTACCCATTAGCAAAGGATTTTTTTTAGAAGTGCCTTTGAGGCACTTCCTTTTTTTCAAGATTTATTTATTTGAGAAAGAGTATGCTCGAGTGGGGGGGAGGGGCAGAGGGAGAAGAAGGAGAGAAATCTCCAGCAGACTTCCTGCTGAGAGTGGAGCCCAACTCAGGGTTTGAGTTCAACACTGAGATCATGACCTGAGCTGGAACCAAGAGTTGAACGCTTAACCAACTGAGCCGCTCAGGCTCCCCCTTTGGCGCATTTCCTGCTCATATACACCTGTGTGTAGACTGGAAATTTATTTAACATGCATTGAAATTATGAGATCCAAATGTGTAGAGGAGTAACTCAGAGGGAGGCAGATGACACATCCAGTAGGACACCACATCTGGGAAGAATTTCCATTTCCTCATTTCACCACTGCATCCCAGGAGTAGTCATTATACTAGATGGCGGCGTTCCAGGTTCTGGAGGTCCACAGATGAAGGAGGACAGAATACATCTGAGCAGCTTGTGCTACTGTCAAACCTTGTCAGTTCTCTCCTGATGAGAAAGGTTAAAGTTTTTTAACCTTGTATATTCACATAAGGGAAAAAATATTAACCTGTTTAAGGCTTTGTGTTTGTTTTTTTGTTTTTGTTTTTGTTTTTGGCAACAGAGGGCTCCTCTGGGCCTAACAAGTGGTTACTTAGGTTTGGAAGAAGAGAAAGAGCCCTTCCTTCTTCCTGTGCTTGCATCAGCCACTGTGAAAGATATGCCATTGATATGCCTTGATATGCCATTGCTGTTCTTAACTCAGCTCTGATACTGGGAATTCTGTCCTACAGCTCTCATCCTCTCCACCATTGAAGGACCTTGGAATCCAGGTGTGATTGTATTAATTGAGCATATATCATGTGCATAGCATGGAGCGAGGCATTATGAAATACATAAAAATTCCATTCTCTATTATTTTGCAAGCTTGATGGAGGCCAAGACATATAGAAGCAACTCAGGAACTGATAAACATTAGTATTTTAAGAATTGAAAAGGAAGAGATCAGGGTAAGAGAGAAGTCTTCAAAACCAATTTCAAAAGCTATTAAAAAAATTATAATCACGATTTTGACAGCTGATGTCCTGTCAAATGTCCCAACAAGACTTTTGTTTCAAACTTGCCTTTCCTATGCTCCTAACCAGGAAAAGTAGTGGGTTTTTTCCCCCCTATTAATTATAAGCTGTTGTTTCTACATAGGTACTTACAGGTCTGACAGAACTAATTGGTGCAGGTAATAATCTTTGCGTGCATTTTTCAAATTAATTTAAGATTCACTTTAATCTCCAGTCATTTCTTGAGGAGTCAGATACTTTATTGATGAGTCGAAATCTCTGTCCTCTTTTTCTTCAGTAGAAATCATCCATCATGTCAGCCCTATCAAGATCCTAGGAGGCTAAAGAAATTTTAGTCCATTTTTGTCTACAGTGAACCTGTCTTCTGCCTTTAGGAGTTATAATGTAGAACATGCCCTGCATGCCCATGACACACTGAGGCTCGGGGCATCAAGTAACTCTTGAAAAAAATGTCATTGAGAGCCATACATTAATTAATGAGGATGTGAAATACTTTACTGTCAAAGCTACAAGTTGGTAAGTTTGATGCCCACTGAGATTATTCCTTACAGAAAGGAGAGGGGCTTTTTCTGAGTCTGTGCCTGGTAGAAGTGTTTTATATTTTCAGGCTTAGCTGCCTGCCATTCAACACTACTTTGGAATGCTCATGTTGCATAATGTATGAACTAATCATAGAAAGTAACTTTTCTTAGTCCAAATCATTCTCACCTTTCACCTTTCCTATCTTTCATACATGTTCAACCTCTTCTTTACTAACAAAGGTTTACCACTCCTACCTCTTCAACTACACAGCCCTACCTACATTGCTTTTCCTAACACTTAACTGTGTTAAGTGTTACTTAACAAGTACAGTGTGTACTTAACTAGCCATATGTGCTTTGCCATCCCTAAGCCTTAGTAATGACTACTTGCTGCTTTCTCTAGGCTTCAAATCATGCCTAAAGAAACTAAAGGAAATGGGAATACCTGACATTCAATATTCTTGCTCTCTGGTTTCAGTTTGCAATGAATTCCCTCATTTTGTGTTTCCTGGCATCTGCTATACTATACAACAGCTGTTCACATTCTTTTCAACTTCCTCTTACACCTAATCACTTTCTCTCACTCATCAAATGTACTGGGCGGGGGGGGGGGGGTCAAGGTTATTGAACAGGTATTCTCTCACTTACCATTCCTCCACTTAAAAGTCTCTTTTTTGTTGTTTTCATTCTCCACCTTCCCATTTTCTGTTTTGTTTCTGTTTGGATTCTCCAATCTTCTGTTTTGCTTTTTAATCAAGTCTATTGAGGCTTACTTTATATTCAATATAACACACTCATTTTAAGTGTACAGTTTGAGGAACTTTGACAGATACATAATGCCCATGAAACTACCACCAAAATGCAAATATAGTTTTTCCATTATATGAAAAAAGTTGCCTCACACCATTCATAATTCATCACCAACACCCATCATGGCTTCAAACACTGATCTGTTTTATCACTACAGAATTCTTTTGCCTTTTCTAGGATTTCAGATAAATGAAACCAACCGTATGTATTCTTTTATTTCTTGCTTTTTGTGTTCAGCATCTTTTTCACGTTCATCCACGTCCATGGTTGCATAATTTTTATAAATAAAGTTTTGTTTAAACTCAGTCATTTACACATGTCCATGGCTATTTTCATGCTATAGTGTCAGAGTTGAGTATTTGAAAAGACCGCATGGCCAATAATGCTTAAAATATTTATTGTCTGGCTCTTCACAGGAAAACTCTGCCAACTCCTGATCCAAGTGGCCAAACATTATGGTATAAAATCTTTTGTATTTCTTTACTATTCTCTTAATGTCTATAAGATCTGTATTAATAAAACTACTTCCAGTCCTGATATTGGTAATTTGGGTTTTTTTTTTCTTGATCAGTATAGCTAGAGATTTGTAAATTTCATTGATCATTTCTAATATCTGACTTTTTATTTCATTAATGTCTGTTGTCTACTTGGTTGATTTCAATTTATTTATTTTCTTCACTAATCTTTGCCTTAATCTGCTATTTCTTTTTAAGGTGAAAACAGAATACTAATTTTAGATTTTCTTCTTTCCACACACAATGACTTAAACTTATAAATATATTTCTAAGCACCGCTTTAATATATTTTACATATTTTGACCTGTATTTTTACTTAGCATTTTCTTGCTCCTTCTGTGATTTTTTTCTGTGACATAAGTTATTTACAAGTGTAATATTCAATTTTCAAATATTTGATGATTTTTCAGATATATTTTTTATTTCTATTTTAATTCTAGTATGGTCAGAAAATATGTTGTCGTGACTCCAAACTGAATAAATTTATTAAGAGTTGTTTTGTGGCCTAGCATGTGGTCTTAATGTCTGTTTCCTGTGCACTTAAAAGGAATGTATATCCTTTGCGTTGTTGTACATAGTGTTCTACAAATTGGTCAAACTTGATAGCGTTATTCAGGTCATCTCTATTTTTGTGTGTGTCTAGTTGTTCTATCAGTTCCTGAGAGATGGATTTTAAAAGTTTCAACCTTGATGGCAGATTAATCTATATTTCTGTTTTATTGTCAATTTTCCCTTTAATCTACTTCCAAAATATTGCTATTAATAATATATACATTTTAACTTTTGGCTCATCCTGGACATAAAAAGATGTTTTTATCCTTAAAAGCTTTCTCTCTTTATCTCTGGTCATATTTATTCTGATGATTACTTGGACAGTAATATAGCAACTTCAGCTTTCTTAAAATTACTGTTTATAATGGAATATTTTTTTCATCCTTTCGCTTTTAATTATCCTATATTTATATATAAAGCTTATCACTCATGCATTTTTTATTCAGTCTGACAATTGCTGAATATTAGAGTATTTAAGCCATTTACACTTAATTTAGTACTTAATATGACAGGGTTTAAATCTACCATCATGCTGCTTTCTATTAGTCCCATTTCCCTCTTTTTCAGGGTTCTTTTGGAATTGGCTATTTGTATAGCATTTTACCTTTTTCTTTTGGCTATTATATATACATTTGTTTCATTTTTGGTTACACTAGAATTTACAATACTTCTCTTTACATTGTCAGAATCTACTTTCAAATGATATTGTACCACTTCTCATATTCTTATAATAGTATATTTTCATTTCATCATCTCATCCTTTATATCATTTATGTACTTCTATAAATTATATAAATTCATCAATGCATTGTTATTAGTTTTGCCTTAAGCAGTCATCTTCAAAAAATTTTTTTCTAAAAGAAAAACAATGACCTTTATATTTAGCCACAAATTTTCCAATTCAGGCCCTTTTTATCCCTTTGTATAGATTCAAGTTTTCAAATGGTATCATTTTCTTTCAGACTAAAAATCATCATTTAATATTTCTTGCAGTATAGATTTGATGACAATGAATATTCCAGCTTTTGTTTGCTTGAAATATTTCTTCAATTTTCACAGAAACATTTATTGGATCCAGAATTCTAGAATGACCTTATTTTTTTCCAGTAATGTAAAGATATTCCATTGTTTTATGATTTATAACCATTCTTATGTCTTTTCCCACTATATAATAAATGCCCTCTTTCCTCCAGTTTCTAAAAATATGTGCCTCATTTCCTTCTGAACCTTTACCAACAATACCTTTAAAATCCGAATTTTTAACTAACAATCTGTTTACAAGATATGCATTCTCTAAGATGATATAGGATTTCAGCATTGTGCTTAGTTCCTTTTGAGCCCTAACCAGTTGACTTTATTTATTTATATTTTTTAAAGATTTTATTTATTTATTCAAAAGAGACAGAGAGAGAGAGAGAGAGAGAGAGAGAGAGAGAGAGAGAGAGAGGCAGAGGGAGAAGCAGGCTCCATGCAGGGAGCCTGATGCGGGACTTGATCCCGGGTCTCCAGATCACATCCCAGGCCGAAGGCGGCACTAAACCGCTGAGCCACCGGGGCTGCCCCCCAGTTGACTTTAATGTCATACTTCTACCAAGTCTAAAACAATTTAGGCTTTTTATTATCTTACTGTTCAAAATTTTTCCAGCCTCTACCTATTGTCCATTTCTATATTATAGTTTTATATTTTTAAGTATGCTTATCAGCAGGACTCCTTTTCTAGGTATCAAATCTGTATTAGTTTACTGCAGCTGCCGTAGCAAATTATCAGCAACTTAGCGGCTGAAAACAACAGAAACTCACATTCTTTCATAATACTGAAGGCCAAAATCAGTATCACTAGGCCAAAATCAAGACCCATGCAGGGCTATGTCCCCTCTGGAAGTGCTAGAATGGAATCCACTTCTTGCCTCATCCAGCCTCTGGTGGCTGTTGGCATTCCTTGGCTTGTGGCTGTATCACTCCAAGCTCTGCCTTCACGGTCACACTGACTTCTCTTCTATATATCAAATCTCCCTCTACCTCCCTATTAAAATGAAACATCTGATTACATTAGGGCCCACTGAGATAATCTAGGATAACCACATCTCAAATTCCTAAATGTAGTCACATCTCCAAAGTCTTTGTTTTCTGTGGTAATACTCACAAGTTCTAGAGATAAGAACCTGGAGATATTGGGGATGTTGATGTGGGGGGGGGAAGGCATTATTAAAACTATCTACTTATTTTTTCATGTGAAATGTCATCCCAGTGTCACTGAATGCCAGCTGGACATACAAAATTCATCAGTTGTGACAAGCTTTCAAAAGTAGATTTATGGGAGAAATAAGAAGAGGGGAGCAGGTTGGAGAGATCTGTATAAAATGTAGTACAGAATACAGAATATCTTTGAAAATTCAAACAGTATTTAAATACAGTATTTCAACACCTACGAAAGACAAAAGATTCTTGTATATAATTGGATGAGGAGAGTGCCTGGGTGGCTCAGTGGTTGAGTGTCTGCCTTTGGCTCGGGTCGTGATCCCTGTGTCCTGGGATCGAGTCTCGCATCGGGCTCCCTGCAGGCAGCCTGCTTCTCCCTCTGCCTGTGTCTCTGCCTCTGTCTCTCATGACTAAATAAATAAAATCTTTTTTAAAAAAATAACTGGATGAGGAAGAAGTGAGGGACAGCGTAAGAGTCATATCTTTGCAGAGAAAAATAAGCAATAGATAAAGACAGCAATGCTTAAAGTCACCATATGAGGCTGGATATTCCAATGAGGCTCTGAATTCTGAAAAAAAAAATAGATCCAGAATTGGCAGTGGAGAATGGTAAAACAGTTGACAAATGAATAAAACCAAGCAAAAAGGAGAGGAAATACGTCTTAAGAAATACATGAGGGCAAGTGCAGGCTGATAGAAGAATCCTACACACAGGCCTGATATGAAATCCAAGTAGATAAACTATAAAAGATCATTTGATCTGAGAAGCTTAAGCTAGTTAATGATATACTAAACCATTAATACAAGGTAATGAGAGTCATTCATTTAATCAACACTTGACAAGTATTTGACCACCTACTATGTTCCAGGCACTTTGGCAATGAACAAAAGCAAAGTCATCCCAGCCTTGCATAAAAGCTTATATTCCACAGAGGGAAACAAGTGATATGCAAGTAAAGAATCAAATGAGCAGTATCAGAGAATTACAAAAGCTATAAAGAAAATAAACAAGGTGAAAGAATAGAAAATGACAGGAGTAGATGCTTATTTGGAACAACATTCAGGACGCACCTCTTTAAAGAGGTTGTATTTGAGCAGAACCTAAAAGAGTATACAAATTGAGCCAAATAAAGATCTGGAGTAAGTGTATTCCAGGTAGATGGGAGAGTTGCTCAATAAATAAATGGTGGTACTATCCCATTTGAGAGTGGGAGAAAGGGAATGAGTACGTATCTTAAATCTGTTAAGTCTGAAATAACTGTTACATGTCCAAGTAGAAATGTCAAGGAAGCAATTGGCTATGCAAGTCCATAGCAAAGAAAAGTAGTTTGAACCAGAGGTTCAAAGTTACATGACGAAGTTACAGACCAGCACCTAGAGAAGTCTTGCCACAAAAATAATCAAATCTTAATCTGACACAGTCTCTCGCACTGACCACCAATTTACAGGGCCTAGAGAAGACAAAGTAACATGTTAAACGAATCCAGAAGGTTGAAATCAACAAAGTCCAGATTCTTGGGAAACTAGAACAGGTAACTGCTTTCTTCAACAAATATATTACAAGAGAAGAGAAAGCAAGACACAAGGCTGGAGCCAGAGAGAGCAAGAAAAGGAAGAGGAAGATGAAGAAACTACAGATTAAATATAAGAAACAAATTTAAAAATGGAATTTATTTCAACCCTGGCAAAAAATACATGAGATACTGAGGTAAAATCAGAACAAGGACAATATTTAACAGTATTAAGGGACTACTAATTTTAAGATTTTATTTATTTATGAGACAGTGAGGGAGCAAGAGAGAACATGAGCAGGTGTAGGATTGGGGGCGAGGCAGAGGGAGAAGCAGACTCCCAACTGAGCAGGGAGCCTGCCATGAGGCTTGATCCTGGGACTCTAGGATACTGACCTGTGCCGAAGGCAAATACTTAACCAATTGAGCCTCTTAGGTGCCCCAAGGGACTATTAATTTTAAAGGTGGTAACATCATGTTCAAAAAAATTATTATTACGTTATAGAAAACATGCTAAGTTAGTTAAAGATGAAATAATATGATGTTGGAGACAATACAAAATAATCAAACAGCATAGGCACACGGTAAGTATGCAAAGATATCAATAAGATGACATGTCTACAAGTTGACAATTGATGAAATATTTCATGATATAAAGTTCAAAAAATGGAAGTAGGATTATTTAGGATTTTATTATCTAAGCTTTAAAATCCAAATAAAGAAGGAAACTAATGCAATCATTACTAAAGATGTAATAATTTGACATCACCAGTAATGAGCCTGTGATTGCATTTTATTGCCTTCCAACCTGATTTTTAGGATGTCTGAAACAATTACTGCGAATACCTCTGTGGGATGCATAAAAAAATCTACAAGAGACAAATGTGCATTTTAACCTGAGCTGTTGTCTGTGAAATGGTTTCTTTTTAGGGGGAAAAAAAAATAGAAAAACAGAGCTGTTTTTCTAAACTGTTCCCAGAGGTGAACAGATAAATAAGCATATACATAAACATTTAAAAGCTTTTTAGAACCATTTTCCTTCATTTTTCACAGACTGACTTCGTTTTCATTTGGAAAATATTTTTAAAAGATTCAACAATTTAATGTGTGCATAACTTCTAATCTTTGAGGTGGAATTATTAGAAACACTGCCAAAAGGTCATACTACAGAGAAAGCAAATTATACAAATGAGTAAGAAAATTGAGTAAAAACAAATTATTGATCACTATCATGAAAACCTAGTCACACCTGCCAGGCTGTCCAATACAGTAGCCAATAGTCACATGTAGAACTTAAATTTAATTAATTAAAAATAAAGCTGAAAAAAATTCAGTTCCTTAGACACACGAACATTTCAAGTGTTCAATAGTCCATGAGCTAGGGGCTACCACGTTGAACAGCAGATATTCAGAACACTACCACCATTATTTCAGTCGAACCCTGACAAAGACTGTCCATCCACTCAGTGATGTGTACACCAAATAAGAATAATATTTATGGAGCTACTGGCTTAAAGACCCTATCCCTTCTTCACATCTTCTTTGATTACATTAAAAAAGGTTTCTTTATGTTATAATAAGTTTTTGTTGAAGGCATGTTGTTTTATTTCACCTATAAATAACCATACAAATGACATATGGGGAAAAAAGTTGTTTCCTGAAGAATGGATCTATTTCATTTCAGCAGATGAAAATGAAATATGCACATTTCCTTCTTTGCTAAGGCTACAATAAAACTCAGAATTAACTTAATGCTTAATTGCCATAACTATTATCCAGGTTTGTTTTTTTTTAAGATTTTATTTATATATTTATTCATGAGAGACAGAGAGAGAGAGAGAGAAAGAGGTAGAGACACAGGCAGAGGGAGAAACAGGTTCCATACAGGGAGCCTGATGCAGGACTCAATCCCAGGACTCCACGATCATGTCCCGAGCCAATGGCAGGCGCTAAACTGCTGAGCCACCCAGGGATCCACCTATTCAGGTTTTGAATAAATGTATTTTCCTCCCCTCTATGCAATTCTTGACATTAGTCTCTTTTAATGTATTTAAAAATTTTTATTGTAAAGAGGCTCAAATTCCTTTTGGAGATGGGTGGAACACAATTGATAAATTCTACACAATGGCACTCTACTGCCCTCTTTCTTTCAAGAATAAAAATTCTAAGCAAGAAATTACCAAGTAAAGTTTTTCCAACAATAACCCTAAGAAAAAACCTGTACCTTTCATTAATCAACATATTGTACACATCAATGCCAAAAGTCATTACAAAACTAAGTAGTAATTCGTAATAAAATCCCGAGATTTAAAAAAAAAAAAACCCTGGCTAAATATAAAAATTACCAAAACTCAATAGCAAACATATTTATTGGGAAAGTACCAATATTTCCATTAAAATCAGAAATAATCATTACTATCATTTACCATGTCTTGAACAAGGTAGCTAATGCAATAAATTTCTAAAAATCAAACAAGCAATAAATAATTGAAAGACATATAGTTAACCTTTATTTTCAGAGTGGCATACCTAGAAAATCTGAATATCTATAATAGCTAATTAAAATTAGTAAGAGCTTATTAAGGTGAATAGAAGTGACATAGATAAAAAGAATTGATACCTTTTCTCTATGCCATCAAAAACTAATTTGAAATGTGGAAAAAGGAGCTCCTGGGTGGATCAGTTGGTTAAGCACGGACTCTTAATTTTGGCTCAGGCCATGATCTCAGAGACATGAGGCTGAGCCCCAGATTGGGTTCTGCACCTGTGTGTGGAGCCTGCTCAAGATTCTCTCTCTCCCTCTCCCTCTGTTCCCCACCCCCCACTCTGTGCTCTCTCTCAAAAAAGGGGGAGGGGAATCCTACTCTAACAGCTACAACTAATAAATGCATAGAATAAATTTGATACCTGTATCAAATATGTCTCAAAAGAAATGCATAGAATCTAAATTGAAAAAAAAAGTAAAATCTTATTATAGGACATAAAATAAGACATAAAAGCAAAGTAACTTATTTTCCTGGATGCAGAATCTGAAAACCATAAAAAATATCCTTTCCAAACTAATGCAGGTTAATTTAATACTGAATTTCTTAGGAATGCTTTTTATCTGTAAAAAGATACCCAACTACTACAGTGGCTTAAGTAACTAAAATGTTTAACTATCTCTCATAAAAAAATCTGGAGAAAGGAATTACCAGGCCAGGACAGTGGTTCCCCAATCGTAAAAACCCAGCCTCGTTCTTTCTGCCGTCCTTAAGAATGTTGGTTTTTCGCTTTATAGTCCCAGATGGCTGCTGCAATTCCAGGCAACACTTGAGTGTTTACTCAAGTTCAGGTTGGGGAAGAAGGGAGAAGGCAGTGGTGCTAAGTATACCTATTTTTTTTTTTTAATCAAAAAAGCAAATGATTCTTCAGAAATCTCCCAGGAGATTTCCATTTCTGTTGTACTGGCCAGAACCATATCATGTCATTACGCTTAGATGCTAATTAAGCTGAGAAAGCAAGCACCTACCTCTTCCAGTCTTCAAGGTTGTGTAAGGTAAGGAAGAAGGTTGAGGATGGGTACTTAGCCAACCAAGTGTTAATATTTCACAAATTCTAGTCAGAAGCTCACTTTTTCATTCAAACAGTTCTGTTTTCCAAAGTAGAATGTATACTCCAGAAAAGGAGTCTTTACCTTGCTCACCACCATATTCCTGGTACCTAACACGCAGGCATCTGTTGGATGACTAAATAGCCTTAGTGCCAAATGAAAACATGTTTTTTTTAAAAGTGGCCATTCTAAACGATAGATGACTTAGTGTATCACAACTATTATCTTTAGTTTTCAACAATGGGACTAAACACAGAATCATACAATAGGGAAAGTCATCTAGTCTCACCATCTTCCCAGTGTAAGAATTTCTGCCCAAAGGTGGCATGGTTTCCCATCTTTGGCTTACATACTACAAAAAAAGGTGTGGTGAGTGCTTACGATGTGTCAGGGACTGGGTGTAATGTTCTATATGCAGGATCTCATTTCTATTCACAACGGTCCCATGAGGAAAATACTATCATTTTCATTTCACAAAAGAAAAATGATGCAGTCTCAAACAAGACAGCAAGTAAGTGGCAGGGCCTAGATTAGAACCCCGGTTAACCTACCTCCAGATTTCAAGTTCTGAATCACTGAACTTTACCACTTCCAATATGAACACAGTCTGTTCCATTGCTAAACAGCTTTTTTGCTAGAATGTTCTTATACTAAGCTGGACCATCTGGCCACACTATTATTCCTACTCATCTTCATTCTGGAGGAAAGCTCAATAAGTCTCTTCATAATCCTATATGATCACTCTTTGAAGGTCTCAGAATTATTTCCAAACACCATGTTATTTTGGTCAACTGCTTTTGGATTAAAGTCTATCTGTAGGATTCTCTTTTAAATGTAGCATCCAAAAGGAAACTCAACACCACAAATCTGTTTACCAGGGTCAGAGGCTATATTACAGGAGCTAAAAACAGGTTGCGACAAGATTAGCCACTTTACCATATATTACATGCAAGCAGAATTAAATCATATCAATATAATTTTACTGTTTACAATGGAAGAAACAAAAGTTTCAAAAAGTGCTATTTTTCATTGCTCAAATTCTCAGTTCTTATATACAAAAGGAATATCTACAGGTCATCAAATGTCTAAGGATTAAATTATAAACTCATGAATTCTATGCCTAAGTGTCTGGTGGAGAAATTATTTAGCCTCTCTAAATTTTTCTTATTTTAAAAGAGTCAGCAACCACAGACAAAATTGTTTAAAAGAAACAAAAAGGGGGCAGCCCAGGTGGCTCAGTGGTTTAGCCCCGCTTCAGCCCAGGGTGTGATCTTGGAGACCTGGTATCAAGTCCCACATCGGGCTCCCTGCATGGACCCTGCTTCTCCCTCTGCCTGTGTCTCGCTTCTCACTCTCTCACTGGTCTCTCATGAATAAATGAATAAAATCTTAAAAAAAAAAATCTAGTAAGGAAAAAAGGAATAATTCTCTGGCTCATATGAATGCATTTTATATTGTACTATATTCATATTCAGGTTGTAGTTTAAAATGTATTATTCACTTCTGGCTATTAGACTGGCTTTTATTGGGACGCCTGGGTGGTTCAGTGGTCTTTGGCTCAGGGCGCGATCCTGGAGTCCTGGGATTGAGTCCCACATTGGGCTCCCTGCATGGAGCCTGCTTCTCTCTCTGCCCATGTCTCTGGCTCACTCTGTCTCTCATGAATAAATAAACAAAATCTTTAAAAAAAAAAAAAAAGACTGGCTTTTATTGGAAGGCTCTTTTTGGTTTTGTTCTTTTAAACATGAAAATGGCCAATTAAACAGTAAAAATTCCCAGTAACCCTTAGAAAATATGTTACCTATACACTAATTTCCTCAAGACATACAAGCTAAAGAAAAAGAAGAAAACTTAAAAGTACGGTTAACCTCAATTTTTAAAAAATTCAAAGTATAAAGAAGGCCCACAGATGGTTTCAAGAAATGCTTATAAGCAGGACTCTACTGCCCTCTTTTGTAGCAAGAATGAAACACAATGCAAGTGCCAAATAGGGCACTTTCTAGGATGAACTGAAAGGAAATACATTTTGGGGCTTGTTTTCCCAGATAGATGGTCAACTACTAGGCAGGGAATACCTGCCTAAATCCCTTCACGAATTTGTTTTGTATGTCTTTGTTGAATAAATCAATCTGACTTTATTCTGATTTTTCTAAACGTTTTTTTGATTATTGCTGAAACTTTAGAGTCAAGAGTAAAACGAAGTCATACATTCAGGATACTTTTTTTTTTTCAATGATTCTAATGGATTTGGTGAGCCAAAGGAGCAAAAATCTAGACAGATTCCAGTTGTTGTATAGGCTATCCAAAATATGCTGCTTTCAAATCCAGTGTTTCAAATGAACAAGGGCTCCGGAAGACACAGCACTGCTCAAGGCAGGGCAAGATGGACTGGGAGAACACTACGGGCAGTGACAATAGGACACCGAGGCTCCTAGTCAGCCCCACGCTGGCAGGACCTGCACTGTGTGAGCGGTGCGGCCACGTGCCTCAGTGTCAGAAATGCATAATGAACAACTGCGATCCCGCTAAGTAAGTAAATAAATAAATACATACATACATAAATACATAAATAAAATGAACAAGGGTGGGGCAGCTCGGTGGCTCAGGTCATGATCCCAGGGTTCTGGGATGGAGCCCCATACATCTTGCTCTTGCTCAGTGGGGAGTCTGCTTCTCCCTCTGCCCCACCCTCTCCCCCTGCTTGTGCTCTCTTCTCTTTCTCGCAAATAAATAAATAAAATCTTTTAAAAATAATTAAAAATACAACCAACAAAGGCAAAACAAAATTGGGACTTGAGTGCCTTTATTTAGTGTGACAGTCACATTGCTTGAAGCAGTCTTTTAAGTGACCTAAGCACAAATTATATAGGTCTTCTTAGTTTACCTTCAGATTGCACACAGCTTTTCTCTGAGGACAAACATTCCATTGTAGAACCCCCATGTCACACTGGAAGTCAGGAAGATACCTCCAGGCTTCAGTCTTCTAATTTAGAAGCCATCCCCTCCCCAACACCCACCACCACCACCACACACAAACACCCCAATAGATCTAGAAAGCAGACACATAAAGAGGTTCTATTTCCAATGCAAAAACATATGGAGTTAGTTAGTATCACTAGCATTTATACCTACCCCCCATCTCAACACCCAGGCTGTTTTTGGTCTTCTAAGAAACCTCTAACAAAATGTGCTTCAGCCTACACTTTATGTGCCAATGAAGGAGGATATTCTCTCAGCGCCAACCTGTGATTTCAGGATTGCTGAAATTATTCAGTGGAGTAAGAAGTTAAAAGCTGCTTTTATGGGCAGCCTGGGTAGCTTAGCAGTTTAGCACTGCCTTCAGCCCGGGGTGTGATCCTGGAGTCCTGGGATCGGGTCCCACGTCAGGCTCCCTGCATGGAGCCTGCTTTTCCCTCTCCCTGTGTCTCTGCCTCTCTCTCTCTCTCTCTGTGTGTGTGTGTCTCTCTTGAATAAATAAAACCTTTAAAAAAAAAACCGTGCTTTTATAAACAATAAAATCAAAATTAAACAGAAAGCCAGATGATACTGCCTCTTTTTCTTTCCAAAAATTTAATTTGTATCTTCAAAATGAAAATACATTTTTTCATTTAACCAATTAATCCAAAGGGGGAAAAATGAAATATTATGAACACAGGAATACTAATAAACACTTCAAGCAAAGTCTATAATCACAAAATTTTCAGCAAGTTTTATAAGAATCTGTATAAAACAAAGTTAAATATAACACTTTTGAAACAATGAGATCAGTTTACTAACCTGCATTCCTGAGACATTTGTACTTCCTGTCCTGGCTTAAAAACAAAACAAAAACCTGAAATCACTTTCCTTTATCCAAATAAATTTACTGTATTGGCTAAGCTGCATAAAGTTATGAGGATAAGTTTTGAAAAAAGCAATAAGGGCAAAATTAAGGCAAACTTGATAATTGTTATCAGGTAAATCGCACATTTAGAAGGATCTTTGTTAAGAATTTCTGCCTTTAAAATAACTCGAAACTATATTATTTCAAACAGCACATTGGTATCTGTCATACATCTGATCGTAACAGCGTTCCTGGAGGAGGAAAGACAATGATGTTCTCATTTCACTAAAAAGAAAAACTAAGATGACTCACTTAGGATCAGACAGCTTGACCAGCGGCACAAACACACTTATCAAAGGCCTTGGAACAGGGTAAAGTTTCCTGCTGGTTGATTTACCTTCCAAACTGCATCAAGTTATGATCCAAGGATCAAAATAGTTTGAATTCCCTGAGGTATCTGCAAAACAGACTGCAGCCATAATGGGTGTTGAGGAAAGTCAGCTCAAGACTTCTCACATGCTACATGATTTGCAGTACAAGACTAGGATAGGGAGGGAGATGGATATAAGAAAAGGGAGGAATGATCAACCTATAGTCAGGTTCAACTAAAACCCCAAAACAAACTGGAAAGATGGTCTTTTCTGGGAAGCAAATATTGAAACCAAAGGGGTAGAGAGACCTAGAATGTTAAGAAATTATTCATCTTAATAGTGCAAAGTATTCAGTACACATCCCCATATAAATAATTCTAAAGCTCCTTTGAGGTAGAAAGATGTTAGGAATGAACTGAGTTCATGTTTAACAAAAAGAAAAAAAGAAAAAGAAAGGAAAGAGGCACTGAAGAGAGGCCCTATTTTTAATGCTACCTTTAATAAAAACTATTGCAGTCTACACTTATAAAGATCCTTTTCAGTAAAGTACTTGAATGCCTATTGTTTTATCTCTACATTTAGAGGTTGAGATTAAGGATCTTACAGCTAAAGGACTCAAGCCAAGCTGGGCTCTTAAAGCCTACAAAGTTCCTAGCAAGCTTATAACTTTTTACAACTTGTCCACTTGGACCCCCTTGTTTTTCCCTCTTCTGTTTCTCAAGCTGGGGCTCAAATTAACTTTACTGGCAAAATCTCCAGGATCCTCTCCATCAGAAGTAATGTTGCTAATTCCAAAAGTCCTGCTACATACACATAAGCCTTGCTGTCACTGTGTTCCATCAGTGTGCACACTTATCTCCCCACTAGACTAGAAGCTACTGAAAAGGCACACAAAGATAAATCCTGCTTCTTCATCTTTGAATCTTTAGGAGCTAGCATCCTGTGGTACACTTTCATCAAGAGTCCATCTGATTTGATCCCTCAAAATGTACATTTTACAGAAGGTGAACAAACTGGAGGTTTGTAGCTCTTCACGTGGAATTCAATACATCCTGAACAACCAGGTTTTATCCCTTTCCCTCTTCCTCCCAAAGAGAATGAGTTCTACCAGAGGCAAATTACCCAGGTTACAACCTTAGGCCCTTTTTCTGACCCCATTATTTTAGAATTGTATTTCCTTCATTAAAATATCCTTATGTACTTACAAGTAAAACTAAGCCACAAGAATAGCAACAAAACATAACAGCTTTTCATGATATACAAATTTCTTCATCACCAGGTCACAGAAAAATAAACATGTTCTTATGCTTGGACATTATTTGTCAGGACTTAACAATGATTTTGAAAATCTGAACTTCCACTTAAAAGATCTCCATGGAAAGAAACATTATGAACCGAATGAAAGAAAATAGCTATTCATAGGGACATATTTTTGTACTTGCTTTGCTCCAATTTCTGCTACATAGATCGCTCCAGTCTTCCCACTGACATCCAAGAGATGAGGTAACACTTGATCTGCTAGTTGGATTGTGCTTATCACAGAACAGTTGCCAATGCTTCCCACTGGGGGTGCTGCCACCAGTAAGAGCCTGCTAAGGTTCAGCTGGCCTATAATCACATACTTTCCATCAGGAGTAAATCTAAAGAGGAAAACGTTTTACAGAATAAATGTATGCAAAACCAATAAAAAGGTTTACTTTCTCAACATTTATATCCCTTATGGCGCTAAACAATAGGCGCCTCTACTTGCTGAAGGTTGCTTTCAAGGAGAATTTAAAATCTGTCTAAATCTGCTGATGAGGGAATAGATTTGTGAGGATAGATGTAGCCAAATACCAGCTTAAACAACAAAAATAATAGTATGCGAGTACCACACAAAATGAAACTAACGGAGAGTCAGTGCTAGGCTGACACCGTAGACTCAAGATTTCTATTTTCATTCTGCGTTTAAAAATTCATCACATGTATCTCGAGGGTGAACGCTGTAGGAGGTGCAGCATATGTTATCTCTGCGACCTGGATCCCACAGCGCACTGGGAGTTTCATTGCCTTTGCTCTGCTTGGGATTTAAAATACTATTATGAGTTCTCTGCATACTTGGTTCTGCCCCCTTTTCACTTGCTGAAAATTAGTAATATTTTAAACTTTCAGCTAGCTCTTCAGAGAAACTAGCATAAACCAAATAAAACAAGCATTTTTTTTTTTCTTTCAAGATTTTATTTAGGGGTACCTGGGTGACTCGGTTGAGCGTCTGCCTTCAACTCAAGTCATGATCCCAGGGTCCTGGAATAGAGCCCCACATCAGGCTCACTACTCAGCGGAAAACCTGCCTTTCCCTCTCCCTCTGCCTGCCGCTCCCCCTGCTTATGTCCTTTCTCTCTCTGTGACAAATAAGTAAATTTTTTTAAAGATTTTATTGAAATTACAGTTAGTTAACATGTAGTGTAGTATTAGTTTCTGGGGAGAATTTAGTGATCTACCACTGGCATATAACACCCAGTGCTCATTACAACAAGTGCTTTCCTTAATGACCATTACAAACTAGCCCAGCGCGCCCTCCCCGCCCCGCCCCGCCACCTAATAAAACAATCATTTTAAAAGAAGAAGAAAAAAATTACCTGACTGAAGAAGGTCCCTCTTCTGTGAAACAATTATCCCATGCTCCTAACCACTCCCCGGTGTCTTTATCAAATACTTGAATTCTTTTATTTCCTCGGTCAGCAACCCACACCTGAGAAACCATAAAAATTTTTCTTGGAAAAGATCCACATCATAATAAGAAAGAAAACAGAAGGGGGAGAGAGGAGGGATGAATGTTTATTTTCATTAGTTTCAGACACATCATCTCACTTAGTACTTAGAGGACCCCAAAGAAGAAGGTATTAAAAGCCCTATCTTCAGACAGGAAATTAAAGTTTGAAGCAAGCTTACAATATGTAGGACAGCCACTTATGGCCACTTGTCTTAACTCAAAGCCCATACACTCGGTCTACTCTAATAAACATCTGAATAACTAAAAAATGAGGGTCTTCCGTTATGATTCAGAAGATTAGCACAGCACTGAGAAGCAACAGAATCCATTCATTCCTCCAGCAAGCATTCTCTGTCCCACTGAGTACTGCCAACCTGTCAGTTCTTGGGTTAGGTTAGAAGACAAAAACAAAGAAATGTAACCTTGCTCCTTAGGAGCTCAGGCTAGGTGGAAGCCAGGTGTTCATTCCTATTGCAGGTATCACTAAACATCTCCCTGCTATTTACCAGGTGCCAAGTTACTGAAAGAGGATGCTTAGAAGATTTTAGTAGCATCTAAAGAATATAGGCTAACAACAGGTTTAATTTAGTTTTGCTATAGGCTGAAATGAGTTATTAAGGAAAGCAGACTCACTCTAAGTGACATTCCATGTACCACATTTGATGAATGCAACCTATGGCATATATACAGTGAAATGAATTTAGGATGTGAGGCTAGGATTGTAGAGGGGTATGTACAAATGGACTGGACATGTGGGCCAGCCCTGCAGACCTTTACCTCCTCCTTTCAGGATCTTTAGATTTCTTGGGTTTGTGGATTCAGGGACTATTTTTTCAAAGCAATCCTGACTATGTATTTGTCAATGCCTGTGAGTTTAAGTAGCCACTAAATTTATCTATAATTAGAAACAAATAAAGACTCACTGTAGCACTTCAGAAAAGTTGTTCCCTAAGTAAGGTAATTACTCAAGACCTTTCTCTGGCATGATTCTTTAGTAAGGATGGATTTCCTCAAAGATTTTGGGATTATTGTCTTAGATGAGTGATCAAGGAAGAAATACTGTTTAGACGCTACGATTGAATAATATTTTAGACTTAGTATTATCTTTTCTACTGAACTATCTTGATTATGAGAAATCTTGTTTAAGAAACAATAGCAGGGGTGCCTGAGTGGCCCAGGGGTGCCTGAGTGGCCCATCAGGTTAACCAACTTGAGACTTTGGCTCAGATCATGATTTCAGTGTTGTGAATTGAAAAACCCGGGTCAGGCACCATGCTCAGCAAAAAGTCTGCTTGAGTCTCTTTCTCCCTCTCCCTCTATCCCTTTCCCAACTTGCACATGCTTATGCGCTCTCAAATAAATACGTAAATCTTTTAAAAAAATAACAAGTTCAGCTCTGAAACTAATTAACTTTTCATATAGGGCTGGGGTGATGACTAAATGAGTTAATTAGGTAAAATACGCTGAATGCCATTGACTGTCGTTAAAATACCCGTGTGTGGAAATGAACACCCTCCTTTTTCAACATTCAGTAATGCCAGAGTATCCCCATCAAATGTTCTCAAAGGCTTCTCAAAAGGGCACTTATCACCATGGAGAATTTACCTGGATCCAGGTCTTGCCTGCTCAGAAACGTGATCTTACTCTTATTCCACGAAGGAAATAGTTAACCAGGCTCAGGAGGGTCCTGTGTTCAAAATCAGAATTCGAACTTTCTAGCTCCCCATTTCTAGACAAAATTCCCATGTTATCTTCCTATCTACATGGGAAACACTTGAAGATTTTATGATCGAAACATTCTCATTTGTCTACATAGGAAGACAAATGACAATCAAAAGGTTGCTTGCTGAACACAGAATCAGAAGTAAAAACGGACTAAACTTTTAACAATGTGAAGCCAAGACAGTCTGATGCATTGTGCAACAAGACATTTAGGCACTTAACGGTTACATATAAGGTAACTATGTACCAGACACCAAGATATAAAGCAAAAGAGATTCAGTACATGCCCTCATATAGCCTACGCTCTGCTAAGGGAGACAATTAATTGATTGTATTATAGCATGATAGTTACTATAACAGGGAAATACAGGCTACTCTAGGAAAACAGAAGGAGAAACAAATATAAAACATTTTGGGTGGGGATCATAGGAAAGTAACCCCAAAGAAGTGATATGTATGCTTAAAGGCATATAAAAGCAAGGAAGTAGAAGTGGATAGGGTGGAAAAAAAGAATGGGTTGAAATGGTCAGTTAAAGTTTTCTGTTCACCAGAGTGGAGCTAGTGAGAACAAAGTTGCCTGGCTGGCTCCGGTTTTCAAGCTTCCAAGATTAATCTCTCCCATTTCTCTTTTGATCAACATATTCCAGACTTAATTTAATTCTAAAATTAAAAATAGGATGCCTGGGTGGCTCAAGTGATTGAGCATCTGCCTTTGGCTCAGGTTCTGATTCCGGGGTCCTGGGATTGAGTCCCACATCAGGCTCCGTGCAGGGAGCCTGCTTCTCCCTCTGCCTATGTCTCTGCTTCTCTCTCATGAATAAATAAATAAATAAAATCTTTTTTAAAAAATTAAATTAAATTAAAAATATATTCAAACACTCCTAGTAGTTTTCTTCACAGGAAAGCAACTCTTTTCTTTTACAGGTAACTTATATTCTATCCCATTATTTGTTCCTTCTACCTTAAAGTGACACAGGAAATCTATTTTGTTCACTTCTAAATATTCGAGAAACTCTCATCATTATAGGACCTAAACATTTACGAGTATGTGGGATACCCAGCCCCAGAGGAATTGCCCAGACACACCCAGACAGATGTCCAGACACACATGTGCACCACGATCCATATATATATCCATACATTCAGACACACAGTCCCAGATACCATGACAGTGTATTTTTACCCGGTCAGTTGAATCAACTGTAACACTGTGAGGTATGTTGAACTTAGCAGGTCCCGTCCCACGTTCTCCATGTAGCCAAAGCACCATGAAGTCTGACAATGGCAAAAATAGTTGGTCAGAGCAACATATGGAATACCTTACATATTTGCATGTTTTTTGTCTTAAGTTGCAAACAAACTATTCAATTATACTCTCAATTGATTATGCTTTCCTGGCTTTCTGTTTATATACCAGTTTGCCTAATTATTATGCTTTACCAAAAAAAAAAAAAACCCTCTGTTTCAAGCAATTAATTGACTTCTTCACTATCTCCACTTGGGTTTCTCATCACTCAAAACTCTTTGTGGTTCATGTCAGTGTCTCCCTTCCCACCTATTGTGTTATTTGGTATTACAATTCCTGTGAGCTTAAAAACTCACAACGTTTTTATAGTCTGTCTCCCTTCTTACTCCTATCGTAGGCCGAATTGTATCTCTACCCCAAAAGGTATATCCAAGTACAGGTACAGGAGTACTCCTGTACGTGTGACTGTGACTTTACTGGTCATAGACTTTTGCAGACATATGAAGTTAGGGATCTTGTGATGAGATGATCCTGGATTCAGGGTGGACCCTAAATCCAATGACTAGTGTTCTCATAAGAGAAAGGAGAAAGAGATCTGAGGCACAGAGACACAGAAAAAAAGGCCAGTTGGAGACAGAGGCAGAGACTGGCGGTATGTTGCCACAAGCCAAGGAAAGTGCGGAACCATGGGAAGCTGGAAGAGGCAAGGAGGGAATGTCCCCTAGTGCCAATAGAGGGGGCAGGGAGGGCCTGCCCTATAGATTTCAGACTTCTGGATTTCAAAACTAGGAGAGGATAAAATTTCTCTTTACGCTATTAAGCTTCTTATAGCAGCCACAAGAAACCAATATACCTATCTATATCCAATCTGTCTCCTGAGTTTGGTTGTTTCCTTCATAGAATTTTTTTGATTCTCGCTTTATCTGCACTTTACCTCCCTTTAACTATCACCAACCAAACTCAGTTACTGAGTAATAAGCTGACTACATATCCTCCATGTAGGAGTTTATGCTTTATCCAAATGACAGAGTTTACTGCAAATACATCCCAATACAGTATTGTGTCTCATAAAAACTGTGTAACACCACTTTCCTGCTACAAACCTTCAGACATTTTAAAGGCAAAATTATGGCAATGTGGTTCATGTCAGTGAATTCTCAGATAATCCTTTAAGAACATACCAGATCTTTTTTTTACTATTCCAAAATTAGATCCTAAGCTCTTTTCCTACAAGATTTACTAATTACCTGTAGACCTTGAGTGATAGAGCCTTGTAAATGTTCCTCCCATTCCTCTTCTCCCACCAAAACCCATTTAGTTCAAGATCTACTTCCTTTATGGACGCTTGCCCTATTTCTCCAGTCAACAGTAATTTCTCCTTCTCCTAATTTTACTTTACCAGTCAATACCATAGAGTAGCATTTAACTGCTTCATCTGAAATAGACCAGCACCTAGAATACTACTGAGAACACAGAGTACTGAATACAATGAAACTTTAGCTAATCAAACTGAAGGATATCTCAGCTCTGGTATGTCAAGTTCAGAAACTTCTCTTTCTTAACTGGATAGGATAACCACTTATTTCTTGAGCCCACTATAAATTCCCAAACTGCCTCCAGTTTAATTCAAAGGAAACATCTAAGTTTTGAAGAATAAGCAAGCATATTATCAGAATCATTTATTATTGGTCATCCAAAACATCCCACTTGAGCCTTTTAAACACAGCTTCATATATAATACAATATACAATAGTTATAGAGGGCCTGGGTAGCTCAGTCAGTTAAGTGTCCAACTCTAGATTGTGGCTTAGATCACTGATCTCAAAGGTCATGATATTGAGCCCTGTGTCAGGCTCCCTGGTGGGTGTGAAGCCTGCTGAAGATTCTCTCTCTCCCTCTCCCCCTTTCTTCTCCCTGGATCTCTCCCTTTCTCTCAATAAATAAATAAATACATAAAATTAAAAATATATACACACACAGTCTATAGTTATAATATCATACCAAATATCAAATAAATTTAATACATCCAACTTACTAAATAGCATTTTTAGGATACCATGCAAGCCATGTACCTTGCGACAATTTGATCAATCTGTTATTCAATCCTCCATCTCCATCCACAATGTAAATATCTCCTGTGTCCTCTACATATAATTCTGCAGGATTATCAAATTGCAGGGGATTCAAACCAGTGCCTTTTTTGCCTGGGGTACCCAAGACTTGAACAAGATCACCAAAGGAATTGTATTTTTTAATAGTATGACCGTAGGATCCTATAAAGATAAATATGCACACTTCACAAATATAACCCCTGTTTAAACATTCATGTTTTTCAAGTAAGCAGGGAGCAGGAATTTAATAGAATTGAAGAGTAATAAAAAGTTAATAGGCTCAGATAACTAAATGCTGTATTTCACAAGCAATAGAGCTTCTTCATTAGTGGCAACCAAATATCATGAATTAAAATTCAGGTACCTCAAAATAAGTAGATTCTAAATTCAAATAAATAAAACCAAAACAACTGGCTCATCATGTTAAATTATAGATACATCATTTTCTTTTGTAATTTTAAGTAAAACCTTGAATAAACATTCCTTGTAAAAAAAAAAATCAAGAAGGAACTGGAAAAGGAACTTACGTTTGAAAATCATTATTTCAGCTAATCATGTGCAGATCTCAAATTTTAGTAGATCAACAAAAAAGTTCATTATAATACAGATTTTTTTAAACCTACACTTTCTCCTTACAGAAACAAGTTCAATATTCAACCCATTAGCGCTTTTTCCTAAGAATAAATCTTTCCAAATCATTAGTATCTTCTCATTTATATCAAGACTTGAGTTGAAATTATCTTACAAACAAAAATATAAAGTATGGTACTAATAATTAGGAAAAAACATAATGCAGTTAACAGAAACCAGCATGAAGGCATACCAAGGCCAAACTAACTGGTAGGCATGCAAAAGATAAAACTGGATACAATGAACTCACTGGAAATAAAATGAAGCAATTTGCATTACAATTCTGGGAGCTTTGTACTATCACTTTGTATTACTTAATAAACCTTGCTTTGCTGTCCACCAAAAAAAAAAAAAAAGTATTTATTATTATACCTTATTTGAATGCTTGAGAGAATTTGTAGCAACAATAAGAGAACAAAATATTACTAAAGGAAGCAACCTTCAAAGTTTCTAAAGAGTTGGCAAAAGACATAAAACACCAGTATATAACATTGTTTTGTTTTGCTAAGGCTCATTTATAGCTACATTTTTATTTACAGGGGTATTGTTTCTTCAAAAAAAGGGGAAGGAATATAAAAAATGCCTTCAGATCTGTGCATTAAAAAGCCCATTAGTGGAAAGAATGAAGAGATCATGTCTGTTCTTTTTATTTCTGGGAACCAATGAAGTATTTTATGAAAAACGATCACATGAATGGAATAAATTAAAAAGTAAAGGCCCTAAACAGTGAATACTGGGGGAAAAAAGAAGTGAAAATAGTCATATTTCATTACAATATTACACGGAACTCAGAGGTAATCAAGATTTTTTGTTTAACAGGAATGATATCACCCAAAATATATCTTGAAATAAATGGATCATTGGCTGAGGCTTAGAAATCTTTTGGGTTCTGAGAACAGATGGTAATGGCACCTCTAACAAAAACTGAGAGCTCATTAATTCCAAAATGGTATCTGAAATAGCCATAAATGAAGAAACAGGATGCCCTTTGAGCCAAGTATGTAACCGGGCTAAAGAATACTGGAAATACTGCCTTCAAGATCCCATTCATTCCTGAGTTCCTGAGATCATAATGCCAGGTTATCTCTGGTATTGTCTTATCTTGAGCCACGAGAAGGTGCAAACAGCTATCTCTGAAAACATCCAGAGCTATAAATCCAACTATGCTTACTTTGATTTGCAACACATTCTACTAGAAGTATTTGATGAAAAGATTTCAGACATGGTGCAGTAGGTAGGATTTCAGAAACAATAACACCAGCAGTTTCTGCAAATCCTACATTTTGGGCAGCAAAGCAGTCCTAGTTTTCTAGCACAATTTCTTTTGAAAGAGAACTGGTAAAGGAAAACAAGGCAAAGACTCCATTCATTAACTTTTAGAGATTGCTATTTTTGGGGCTTTACTGAAGATGTTTAGAAGTTTAACCTGGGAAGAGCAACTGAGGCTTTAACAACTATAGTAATGATCCCCGCAAGGATGGTCTTGCAACTGATGTTTTAAAGAGGAAAAGTTCCTTGACAAGTTAAAGGAAAAATCATAGTAATTACAGCCTCCTTTTTAAATGTTTTGACTCTACAGAAGTACAATATAGAGGTTTTCAGAAATGATCTCATAAATCATTAAAGATGTCAAATTAGATTTAGCAACTCTTGATTTTAAAGCGTACAAGCAAGAACATGGGCAAAGATATGATTTCTAACAAGATAATTTAATAGATAGTACTACACATACCACTTCCTACATCCGTGATCCAGACAGACTGTTCATGTAGTGTACTGGCTGCAAATATACCATGAGGTGTGTCAACTGTATAATTCCAGGATCGTAGGAAATATCCATCCTCTGTGAACACTAATACCTTTGGGATGTTATCCCCTCTCTGAAGGTATATAAAAATAACTGCTTAGATAGGATCAGTTCTTAGAAAGTAATCTTTATTGTGGTAGAGAGAAACAAAAATCAAAGGTTAATCGCAAAATTTAATGTTTAAAAAACGAGTTTCAAAACCTAACAATATTAGTATCTGCTACATTCAAAACCAAAGCATTTACTTACAACCAATTCCAAAAGAGAAACTTCACAATTAGCGTAACATAAACAATATACGGTAACTTGGTACAGCAAAACAAGAAGAGATCGTTTCCTCGGTGTTATTTTGTTTTTGTAAATCCCAATCTTACTAACCTGGGCTACGTAAACCAATCCGCTGAGGGAGTCAATTGCAACACAAAATGTTGTTCCAGTAAAGTATTCTGAACGCTTAGGCCAACCCACATCCAGCCGGTAAAGAATTTCCTTGGTTCTCCAGGAAATTTGAAAAGAAAATTTCCTTAAAACCTTCAAAAAAAAAAAAAAAAACATCAGAAGGTGAAGATTCAGTTTACTCTGTAGGTGAAGAAAAGGAAAAAAAAAAAAAAAACCAAGTCAATTCTTAAGCATGCCTCGACAACTGACACAGAGCTGCTGAGACTGCTGGACGGAGATGATTCGGAAGAAATGGATTTATACGTCCAAAGACCAAAGCGATCACAATACAAATCTGCAAATTATTTAAAGACACGCTGGGATCTGGGGGAAAGAGAGCAAGCAGGAAAACGGCCATGTATTCTATGCAAACTTTTTAACGCTAAGAGACAAAGCGAGGCGCGGGCAGCTCCGCTCCTCTGCAGGTCACGCAGACAGGCCGGTGCGGCGGCCGGGCCCGCCACCTCCACCCCGGCAGCCTCTCCGCAGTGCCATCCGCATACCTGACGGGCATTTCCTCGCTGCTCAACTCACCGGGGCGCCCCCAAAACGCGAGTGCAAAACCAGTGATGCAAGAAAGAAGCCAGCGCCGGCCGCGCACACCCAGAATCTCGCCATGAGGACCCCGTCCGGTCCGCCGGCGACTGGGGGCCACCGGACAGCCTTAGGTTCACGCCTTCTTCGTGTACAGGGCGTCGGCCCCACCTCGGAGCCGAAGCTCCTGCCTCCAGTTCCCGCTCCCGGACGCGCGGGGCTCCAGGACTAAACCCCGGCGAGAGAAAACCGGAACTCGGGCGGCGGCGGCGGCGGCGGCGGCGGCGGCGAGAGCGCCCCGGGCCCACGCCCCCGGGTCACGTGGTTCGGGCTGACCCACCGACCGCCCCGCCCCTTTTCTTCCCTAGGGGCGCTCCACGCGGCCGACTTCTGCGGTCCGCCAAAAATGCGGGCGTCCGTAGATATGCCTGAACCACTCGATGTCCATTTTTTTAAGACTTCAGATTGAAAAATCAAAATAGAGAACACTCACACCAGAGACCTGGAGATAGTGTCCTTGCAGAGCGCCTTTCGAGCTCTGAGGAAGATCCCAGCGGCATCCGTTTCCCAGGCACCCAGGCATTCGCTGTGAACATCTACGTTCCCACAGCAGGACCCATCCGTGGGCTGTCGGGAAAGAGAGGCCCGAGGGGTCGGCGCCGCGTTGAGTTTACTGGGCCGCGACGGGTTTCGTTAAAGGCCCCCGAAGCCGGTGGGAGCTGTAGGGGTGACCGGGAAGGGCTCTCGACGCCGCGGGCGCCGCGGCGTTCGGGAGTCCCCCTACCGGGGAGCGTGCCCCCCTTCGCCGGGCTCCTGTGCCCACCGGCCGCCGGCCCGCTCCCGGAAGCCGTGGCAGCTGGTAACAAAAGAGCCTGCCAGGCCGCCGCCGCCGCCGCCGCCGCCGCCCGGGCTGCGGGACCCAGGAGCCAGCGCAGCTGCCGGGGTGGAGCGCGAGGCGGGCCATGAGCCCAGGCTCGCGGCGGTGAGGGGCGGCGGCCGGCGGCCAGAGCGCTGCTGCGGGCGGGAGGCCGGTGCCCCCTCCTCGCCGCCCGCGGCGCTCGGGGCGCCGCCTGTTCCCCCACGCGGGGAGCGGCTTCGCGACCTGTCCCCGGCGGCGCCTGGCCTGCAGCTGCAGGAGACCGGAGCTCGGCCCCGGCTGCCAGACCCTGGATCTCTCTGCAGGACTCAGAGAGCGGCGGGCTCCCCCCTGAAGCTTCGTGTGAAGAGGCTGCGGAAGCCTGACGGTTTTTGCTTTTAATTAAAAAGTTTTCCTAAGTGTGGGTTTTCAGAAATTTTTGCAGACTTTGAAGTACCCTCTACCTCTTCGCATCCTTTTTCTTGCTCCTGGAATCTTTCCTTCTCAGCTGTAAACATTTTTTACTGCTGGAGCAGACCAGGGATGATCGCTTTGTAATTGAAAGTGTGACTGTTCAGGCCACGTCGAGACGGTAGTCAAGATGGACAAAAAGTCTTTTGAAACGGTTTTGGATGAAATTAGAAAGGTAATTTCGCTTAATTCCTTAAACCAGGCTATGAGCTTGGAATTCTCATAGTTAATTCTCGTTGAGGCACTGCGTGCAGATTGTGCAAAATACGGGTTTTGGTATTGCCAAATTGATTGGAATTAACCCGCAGTTGTGAGAGTCTGTGTCTTGGTACTTTTCATTGCGCAAATAGAAATTAAGTTGTATTAAGGTTGAACTTGACGGTGCAGTATTGTGGAAGTCCTACTCAAAGAGCTCTCGTCCCCAAGCTGGCTCTACAGATCTTTAAAAGCTCTCTACTTGTGGAAAAGCGGTTTAATATTTCTGAACTGATCACCTCATCTTTCAGTAACCAGAGACTGAACACTGAAGGTAATACGTATGAGATGTCTTTTAGTGGTAGTTATTATAGGCAGGTTTTTCAAACCTAAAGATAGGCAGGGTATGTATTACTTGGACAGACAAAATTAATGTTCAAATGGCATTGGGTTTAAAGTCCTATTTTTAGAAGTGGGCTTCCATAACCTGAATTTCAGAAGTTTTTGCTTCGTATTGAGGCCATCGTGTGTAACCTACCTTCCAGAATGAACCAGACAGCAAAAAAATTTGGAATGTAGCCTTGAGCCCGACAAATACCTACACTACCTAAACTCTGGTTCACCTCCTTAGAACTGGAAGGACTTTCTGTGCCATTCTCATGCTAATACGGGTGCTTTGCTTAGAACGTCTGGGTGATTGATTATCTTCCTTTTCCAGACCCTTAAGACCCCTTGACTGACTGGGAAGGATCTGTTATTTTATGCTCTGGTGATTGATTTATTTCAGCTTATGAAATTGTTAATAAAATTGCCTGGGCATGCCGTTTTTCTACATTCTCTATAAAGCAAAGTGTTGTTTTTCTTCCTCCTTCATAAAACTTTTTTTCAAAATCGTATGCTAGGTAAAGTTTACATATTAGATGATAATTGAATGCTCTTTTTGAATAAAATTTCTGCTTTTGCAAATCCAGCTTGTGCAATTAAGATTTGCAATAAAATGTCCGCTTGCCAAGTATATGTTTAAAATTTGTAACAATTTGTTCATGAGCTGATACCTAACGACTGTCTGAGAAAATAATTTGTGTTCAAATAAACCAGTAGATTTCTGCCTTTGGAAATTAGCAGATGCATTTTGTATATATTCTCTCTTCTATGTTGTGAAAGGATCATATAGTGATACTAGTGAGGGAAGTAGGATATTTTCCAGAGTTGAAAATCATACATGAGATAGCAACTTACGTTCTTATTTAAGTCCTTATTTCTGGCCTGCAGTCAAAATGTGTCTTTTGCTGTCTATGCCAAATAATTAGGTACATCAACATTGTCTTAGTCTGTTAAGATTGGATAAAAATGTAGGCATATTTAAATGAGAATTTTTTTTTTTATTGCTCTCAGACTTTGTAAATGTAGGTTGGTTTAAACCAGGTTATCAAAAAAGTAAATAAATAAGTAATTGATTAATTGAAAATAAATAAAATAAAAAATAAACCAGGTTATCACTTCCTGAGATTACATCTCAACAGTTGTTTCTAGAGTACATAATCCAGAATGCCATTCTCTCCCCTTCACCTCCCTTTTCAGTGAAAATTAAACTGCTGGGCAACCGAGATGTTTCAGTTAACTGGTTGTGGTATTTTCTCCCAGCAAATTAATATACATGCCAAGTACAAATACTGTTGTGTAGTAAAAGCAAAGAGATTAGTAGATTTTTAATGATTAGTAGTTACCAAATAATGATTGTTTCCACCTCTGAGCTCACCAAGCAGTTGCAAGGAGAGCATACATGATTTTAGCTGGCTCTAGGTAGTGCTGGGTCAAGGCCACCATACTTCTCTCTGAATTTCCCATTGATGGGAGGCATGTGAGGAAAGGAACTACTACTATTTACCTACTACTACTGTGTGTTAGATCTTCTATTGACAATTTTAATCTCCACAGTAACTCCAAGGAGGGTAGTGAATGGTGTTCCCCCTTTATGGGGAAAGAGGTGCCTTTCAGAGGTCATTCTACCAGTTAGTAGCAGGCACACAGATTGAATTGAGGTCCCTCTTTGACTCCTTGGGCTCTTACATTCCAGTGGAAATACTGAGAACCTGGACCAGACCTCAGACCCATCTTTCATGTTTTTCTATTACTTAGGACATAATAGCTGCCCAGTAATTGATGGATGAGTAATGCCTTACGTAATTAGCCTTAAAAATAACAACTCTAACTTCATGTGTGTGATTAAATTTTTTAGAAAATGACAGTTTGGTTGAATTTGGGATATTCCGAAACTCTAGTTACATTTACAGGAATTCTTTTGTGATTTCTCTTGACATCAGATCTTGTCTATTACAGTTCTGTACCTTTTCCTTGTCTGAGAGAGTAGGGAGGCCCAGGTGGTTTTCCTGCTGTCTCAGTGTATCCCTTACAGCATGGAACCTGTAAAGGTAGAATGACATGTCACCATAGTGACCTTAGCTGCCTCTGTGTTCTGGGCCTGAAGGTCTGCCATGTTTGAGATGCTTAGGTAGTTTTGATAATATGTATATAACTGTTTTGCTTCTATATATTAATGCTGTTTTTCTGTGTTTTTTTTAGGCTGTTCTAACAGAGTACAAATTAAAAGCAATTGAATATGTGCATGGATATTTCTCTAGTGAACAGGTATTTCTATTTGTTTAAGCAAAAAAAAAATTTTTTTTTAAACTGATATTCTAGTTAATGTCTATTTACCTACCGGTCAAATTCAGAATTGCTTTTACTTATTAGTTCCTGTATTTATTCGGGGATGTTAGAAACTTTCAATATTGATAGAAAACTTTACAAAATTTATAGTTTGAGTATTTTATAAACGTAGCTACTTTCACTGCAATATCATATGTGAACATGATTTCAGAAATGCAGTGTCCAAGAAAAGCATTTCAAAGTATTTATCTTTCTGGGCACAATATCATAAATTTATAGATTTTTAATGGTAAACATACCTAAATTTGAATAGAATTTATAAGTCAGTAATTACAAAATTCACTATGCATTAAGAAGAAAGCTCAAACAAATGGTGAATTATGGTTCTTATATGAAGCCATTAAGTAAAGATTTTAGGAATAAGAAAAAATACAGTGTTTAATAAGTAGTTTCTGTCACTGCCAGAAGAGTAATGTTTTAAGCATGGTAGTTTAGTGAAAACTCACCCAGCTTCAGGGGGAGTTTGCTAATTAAAAAAAAATATGTATGCATACACAGAACAGATTTCTGAAGAGTCCTTAGAAAATACTTGAGAAATAAGGCAGAGAGAGAAATGTGCATCTGTAGATGTAGTTCTGCCAAAGGGTGACAATGTGGAGAGGGTAGACAGTGGATGAATCTATACAGTGGAGTTAGTAAATGCTCCAACCTTTCATCTGTTTCTCAAGAATTTTAAAACTTGAACTTGAATAACTTTAAACCTATAGGAGTTCTGACTGCTAAATACTTAAAAGCTACTTTACGATTTGCATGTCTTGCTACCTATTTAATGAGTGTCTTTCAGCTGCCCCATTATTTTTCAAACTCACCTTAGGCTTAATTTAAATGTTTTGAAAAGATCTACAATTTTTTATAGATAATAACTTTCCTTTCCCTCTTTTGAGTGTGTGTGTGTGTGTGTGTGACATTTTGTAGAAAACTTCCCTCGGTGGTTATTCTACTTTGCTAAAGTCATTGAAAACTTTAAAAAACTAAAAGCTACTTTCTAAGTATGGCCTGCTAAGCCTACTTATTATATGGAAGGTTTTTCTT